CCCTCCCCCTCCCTCCCTCCCTCCCTCCCTCTACCTACCTACCTACCTACCTACCTAATTTATATTGCCACCTATCTACAAATGTAACTCCGGGCAGTGTGTAATAAAGCCAACAATTAAAATATTGTTCATAAACCAGTAAAAACAATTAAACATAAATAGAAACAAGATCACAATAGAATGTATCAGGTTTGGGATTTTTCGTTTGTTTGACTCCTGGTGATTACCTTGACAAGTGCCTGCAGTTCGTTTATCAAGATTTTTCAGAGGTGGTTTGCACCCATGTCTTCTTCCTAGAGCTGAGGAAAAGTGACTGGCCCAGGTTCACACAGCTGGCTTTGCACCTAAGGCAATCGCCCAGTTGCTCGTCAAGAGGTTCAAACTACTCCCAGATAACAGGACAAGACTATGGTCAAGGCATCTCCACGGGATGTACACCAATGCTGGCATTTAATTGGGCACACATCTGAGCTATTTTGTCCAACAGATGCTGTGAAAATTCTTCAGCATGGCCTTGCAGACAAATCTCGAGTCCGCCTTCCCCAACGGATCACCCTAAACAAGGCCACCGAATGGCATGCTGTACGGATGGAGAAGCAATTTCTGGAACTCTTCTGGATTCACCAGTTGCTGGAAAATTGGACTTGCCTCCCTACATCTGGAATAGTGCCAGGGAATCTCATGGATACATAGCTTGATCTGACCATGACAGAGGAACCGTAGAGAGCTGTCACCAATTCCAGATCACACTGCCAGTTTTTGACGGTAAAACCAAATGAGACTTGTGATGGCTGCTGCGTGTTGAGGATGGGTGACCTGGGATAGGCCCATGGCTGCCATAATGGCTCAGTTAAGCCACCTCAGACCCCACGCCTAAGGAAGGCAGATTAAAGTTCTCCAGGACCATCAACTCAAGGAACTCTACTGCCTATCCCCGAGACAGACTTGAGGCAGGCAGATTGATACACAGTAGGCAAAGTGGTATAACAGTCCCAACTAATCTGTAGAGCCCAACGTAAGGAACAGGGTCTTATTTACGGAGTGTATGAAATATGAAACCAACAAATAAATGAATGTATATAAGCACACAACTTTGGGAACTTGGTTTAGAGCAGTGTTTCTCAACCTTGGCAACTTGAAGATGTCCGGACTTCAACTCCCAGAATTCCCCAGCCAGATAGGGCCCAATGTTCAAGACTGTCAAGATCCATCTGGATCTTGAGCCTATCTTCCACTCCTGGAAGCTTAATATCATCTGCAAATTTCCTCTTATATTCCCTCAGTCGTTTATGAAGATATTGAAGAGTACTGGGTCTAAGACGGAACCATGTGGTACTCCACTGCTTACTTTCCTCCATATAGACATAAACCCATTAAGGACTACTTAGTGGGTACGGATTGTAAGCCAGTTATGAATCCATTTGGTGTTGATGTTATCTATCCACTTTTTTCTAGCTACCAAGAAATAGATTGTGGTCTACTTTGCGAACACTTTGCTGAAGTCTATGTATATTATTTCCACACTATATTGCTGGCCTACTAATTTAGTCATTATGTTGAATGAAATATTGATCAAGGCAGGAGTGAAATTCAGCAGGTTCTGGACAACCGGTAGCAGAAACTTTGAGTAGTTAGAAGAACTGGCAAATACCACTGGTCCCAGAGTGGGCTGGGAATGGAGATTTTGTAATATCCTTTCCCCAGGAGTAGAGAGGGAATGGAGATTTTGCAGTATCCTTCCCCTGCCACGCCCACCAAGCCACGCCCACAGAACCGGTAGTAAAAACATTTGAATTTCACCACTGGGTTAAGGGTTATCAGCCAGCACAGTCCCACAGATTGTCCATATTCTGAACCAGGATGATTTGCAAACATCTAAAATTAGGGACAAATGCAGAGGCGCTGGATTAGGTAGTGGCCTGACTAAAGAAGTAATTTCTTTCATTGTCAAGGTTGGATTGTTGTAATTTGCATAGTTGCAAATCTGCTATTTGGAACTGAATTATAATCTTCCCATAAAAAAGGATCCTATTAATTGGGCCTATTAATTAAGTGGCATGATAGTGCACAATCCATCCTCAACTAAAATACATTTTAATGTAGTTCCTATAGACCAGTACAGCCAATATTGAAAGAAACCATTCATTTGGATAGATGCAGCCTTATTTATTCATCCAGACAGACTCTGCAGTCAGCAGAAATCAGCATTATTTCTGGAATAATGCAGCCTTTATCCATAGAAAGAGCTAGTCCCCATCATACATGGCTTAGAGAGTTGCATTTTACTACTCTGGAATCAGTGTATTTATTATTACCCTCTTTTTTTGTTCCTATTCTGATCCACACTCTTACCCTTTCAAATGTTATGACTCAGCTTTAAAAGACTCTACCTACAATGTCCAAGCACAAAAACCATTCTGTTTGCTTAATTTGTGGCCACAAAAATAGTGCAAAAATAATTATCATCAGATATTTGGGATCAGTGCTTAGTCCTGTGCACTCAGCTACATCATTACTTTTTATTCAAGATGACTTTCACATTTTTAAAGGAAGATTTTAATTCTCCAGGCCCAAAAAACCACTACAAGAGATGGGCTAGTTATAAAATCAGAGATATCAGTCAATCTGATTATTGGGGTTTTACATTTGTTTTTCCCACACAAAACTGTTGTGTTTTACAAAACTAAACTCCTATCTTATTCTGCTATCATTACCGTAACCTTATACAATGTAGATTTTGCCATATTTTCTGGCTGCAACAAATAAAAAATAAATATTTGCAACTTATACATTTGTAATCTTCCTGTTAAGACGTCAGAGTTTTTGTTCTATGTTTTGTATTTTACCTGTGTTCCTTTTTACTGAAATATGATGTGAATGTGCNCAGGGACGTGGCGGCTCAGTGGCTAAGACACTGTCGATTAGAAAGTTTGGTGGTTTGAATCCCTAGCGCTGCATAACGGAGTGAGCTCCCGTTACTTGCCCCAGCTTCTGCCAACCTAGCAATTCGAAAGCACATTTTAAAAAATGCAAGCAGAAAAATAGGAACCACCTTTGGTAACAGCGTCCCATGCGCCTTCGGTGTTTAGTCATGCCAGCCACATGAACAGGGCGGTGTCTTCGGACAGCACTGGCTCTTCGGCTGTGAAACAGAGATGAGCACCGCCCCCTAGAGTCGGGAACAACTAGCACATATGTACAAGGGGAACCTTTACCTTAGTTCCAGGAGTTCCAATAGAAGTGAGTCTCATAGTGCAGGGTTGAACTGGAGTCCTTGGTGCTTTGCTTGCAGAAGTCTTGTGACTCAACTGGGTAACATTAGAGCAGTGTTTCTCAACCTTGGCAACTTGAAGATGTCTGGACTTCAACTCCCAGAATTCCCCAGCCAGCATTTGCATAGGAAATCACTTATATGTAGTCAATGATGTTACTTATTTGCATGTTCATTAAAAGGAGGTTGAAGATCAGAAGGGATATAACTTGTAAGGAAAAAGGCTATTTGGAGTTCACAAAAGAAATAAACCAGACCAATTTGTACTAACAACTTTTTTCTTATCTGGAGCTCCAGCCTGTTTATCTGCTTAGGAATGTTAAAAGCCAATAAACGTGAATATTTTAAAGGAGATAAAATAAATAATATTAAAACGCAAAGTAACTATGTGAGTTAAAGGTAAAAGTTCCCTTGCACATATATGCTAGTCATTCCCGACTCTAGGTGGCGGTGCTCATCTCCGTTTCTAAGCCGAAGAGCCAGCTCTGTCCGAAGACATCTCCCTGGTCATGTGGCTGGCATGATTAAACAGCAAAGTGCACAGAACGCTATTACCTTCCCACCAAAGTGATTCCTATTTTTCTACTTGCATTTTTTACATGCTTTCGAACTGCTAGGTTGGCAGAAGCTGGGACAAGTAACGGGANCTAGGTCCTTGGTTAGGACTCGAGCTGTTGAACTACCAACCAGCCCCAAAGGCTGTGAATCTAACCAAAGATCATCATCAAACAATAGCAACAATAATATACTTTATTCATTAAACATGAAACTCAGTTGACTGAGTTTCATGTTTAATGAATAAAGTAAACAACAACAATAGCAAGGACAACGGCCACATTTGATTGTCATATATCTCATTCAAGTTACACCTAGGTGTGGTAGGAGAGCCGTATTAGCGCAACTGGAAAAGGGGTTTACCGGATCCTCCCCGATTGTTGTTGCTTCTTCTGTGTTTGGGATCTCTCGGGCGCCGGTAGGATTGCTCAAGTGGTTGCCCTTACTAACCTGTAAGCGTCCACCAGACTCTCTCCTTCCAAAGTCGGGCGGCTACATTTCTCCCTGCTGCAAAGAGGAATGAAACCGCACGAAGTGGAAACTCACCTGTCCTTAAGCCGAGTTCAATCGGGAGGCAAGACAAGGCGCTTACAAAAAGAACAGGCGGGGAACAAATAGGGCATCTCCCCGCGCCATCTGTTGCGCGCAGCTAACTCAGACCTGGATTAAGGGATGGCGGAACGACGGGACCTTGCGTAGTTCCAGGCAGCCGCTCGGAGAAAAGCCACATGCGCTCTGCAGGAGCTCAGAGGCATCCGCCTCTCCCCGCACCCGTAGCTTAGCCCCGGTCCCCCAAACAAATCACCGCCGCCTCTCCTCCCTCTCTTGCAACCAAAGGAAGCCGCTTGCCTATCTCGACAGGGCGTCACCCCAGGGCGGCGGTGGGAGTGGCTCCGCCTGGTAGTACTGGCTCGGCGAAAGGGCGGGGGAGAGGGGAAGCGAGCGAAGGCTCCGTCCCGTCGTAGTGTGGGAAAGCAGACAGGCCCCTTTTCGTCTGCCCGCGCCGGCATTCCTTGATTCGCTTTACGGCGGGAGGAGCCGTCCTGGAGCTATGGCTATAACAGTCTGTGGAGATTCTCAGTCATCCAGGTCATGGTTGTCCTAAAGGAGCTTTTTCAGGAGGCAACTGGACTTTCTTGTTTTTGAAGTTTCTTGGATGAGAAGCGAAACGTGTTCGGAAGAAAAAAAAACAAGAAAGTCCAGTTGCCTCCTGAAAAAGCACCTTTGGGACAACCATNTATGCAAGAGTTTTGCAAATACAGTACCAGAAAAATATTAAACATTAACGATCTAATTTGCAAGTGGATTATAGGCTGGAAGAATATGATGCAACAGTAATAAATGTGAGGATGCGAAGTGGGTGCTAAAAAGAGTTAATTTTATATCTCAGCCTTGTTTTTCTTAATTTTGTTAACTATTTTCTTTCATTCTAAAAGCTACTGGTAAGTTGAGAAACTGCTCTTTAGCATTAGTCATTGAAAGATTATAGACAGCTGGTCTAGTGTATATAATGATAAAATGAGGACCCAGATTGTTGGGGACAATATGCCGATGCTGTAAACCGTTTAAGAGAAGGTTCTGAAGTACTGTGAAGCAGTATATAAGTCTAAGTGCTATTACTATTGCTATTAAGATACCAGGCTAGAAACTGAGGGACCAGGAGTTTGAACCCGACCTTAGGCACAAAACCATCTGGATGACTTTGGACCAGTCACTGTCTCTCAGCCCTAAGAACATGGCAATGGCAAACCACATTCAAAAACCCTTGTCAAAGGAGCTGTACTGACTTGGCTAGCAGTCGCCAGATGTGAAGGATGACTTGGCATCCTCCCTTGGCATCAAGACAACCACTGCTACAAAAGCACTTAGCCAGATCACATAAGGATACAGCAAGTCCATTCATGCAACAAACTGTTTGGTATTAATCTTGGCTAGGTTTTTATGGTTACGTTTGCCGTTGGTATCTAGCTCATTTGGTTACCTTTGACTGAATATATTGCCCTGGAGCCACGGTGGCGTCGTGATTAGAATGCAGAACTGCAGGCTAACTCTGCCCACAATCTGGAGTTCGATCCTGATAGGCTCAACATTGACTCAGCCTTCCAGTCTCGCGAGGTCGGTAAAATGAGCATCCAGATTGTTATGGGCAATATGCTGACATTGTATGCTACTCAGAAAGTACTGTAAAGCACTATGAAGCAATATATAAGTCTACGTCCTATTGTGATATTGCTAATAAGTGCTATTGCTGTATTGCTATTATCCAAACCCAGAAATGTTTAATCCAATAACCAGCTAAAAACATGTTGAGTGATGTTAGCCAAGCATAGGG